CACACACACAGAGAGAGAGAGAGAGAGAGAGAGAGAGAGAGAGGGAGAGAGAGAGAGAGAGAGAGAGAGAGAGAGAGAGAGAGAGAGAGAGAGAGTACGTTGTATTCGGGAGAAGATGGTAGGGAAACCGGTGACAGATTTTCTGTCCTGCCCTCGCATGTCCTGTCGCTCGGGACTTTGCCAATATCCTGTTTGGCATGGTCAGAAGTCTCTTTTTTTTTTTTTTTTTTTTTTCCTTTTTTGCACGGACGGAAGTCTAATGCCTTTATCTCGTGGAATGTCCTTGCTGCTGGCCCACTAATTAGTCTAATTCAGGTACGAAATTCGACCTGCCGGTTTTGGACAATTCCTGCAGATGAATAGAACAGCCCTGTTAGGTCAAGTACCTACACTTTGATAAATCAAGCCTGAGCCTGGAGGCACGAAGTGTTTATTAGATCCCAAGCGAAACGCTTGAGCTTCCAGCCGCCTGGAAGTTCAGACTGTATCATCATCCCATCTTATATATATGGGATGTCTGGCGTGCAGTCGTTGAGGCTTTACGGTCTTAGACTTCCTTCCCTGCTGATTGTCCGCACCGACGCATTCATTATTGGATACTCGGCGGAGGTTTCAGCAGAATTCCCGCTTCCAGGAAGCCGCCGTTAGGCGCGATCACCAAAAAACCATTGACGCCAGTCGTAATTAATTATGATATTTTTTTGTCGACAACCAGCGAAGCTGTTTTTATTTGAGTAATTACACCTATTCCGGATGAATCAAATCATATTTGATTGGACCTTCGGAAAATCCATATACCCTTCAAATTCACAAATCCCATTGGATTCCATTATTCGTGTTTCTTACATGCTGCTGGGCCCGTAAGCATCCAATAATCCCCTTGCTGCCAGGCCACTAAAATACCTGGCGTTTCTGTTTACAAGTGCGAGCATGCTCTTGCTCTCTCAGAAATCGGGAAAATGAACACAGTAAAATACAGACCCCTTTACAGTGTTGCTATTCAGAAAAATACAAGGATGCTGCTGCAATGATTGACGGTTCACGGTTTGGGGTTTGCAGTTTTTTGGGGGGTGCTCGTGGTTTGGGGTTTAGGATTTGGCCTCCTGACGTGAACAAAAAGAAAACAGAAAGAGGAAAAGCTTTCAGAGAGTTGCTATTCGCAAACACCAGGGCTGTGCAACGGTTTAGGGTTTAGGGTTTTAGGGTTTAGGGTTTCGGGGTTTGGGGTGTAGGGTTTAGGGTTTAGGGGTTTGGGATTAAAGAAAGCACAATAAGGTCGAACCTCAACAGCATGCCGCAGCTCGTCATCAACCACCACCATGGCGGCAATTCGTTTTCCCGGCTCCAGGCTGTATTCGGCTCTTGCATTGCGGATGGCCCTGATCTGAACGTGCACACAAAACACAAAACAGCAAGCGAATTTATCATTCATATATAAACTTACAAAGACTGTTTTTTTTTCTCGAAAACAGAAAACGCAGGAAGCTGACCACTGACCAGTTCGGAATGGAGTTTATAACTTTCAATAGTCAAGAAATTGACATGGAAGCACTGGGCAACAATTCTGTGAGTGGAAAAAGTTCAAAAAACATTGGCCGACATTTGCGCCAGGGGGGTAAGAACTTGCAAAAAAGTTGGGATAAGTCCAAAAAACTTGAAAAAACTTCAAAAAAGTAAAAAAAAAAAAAAAAAAAAAGATCCAAAAAAGATTAGGCTATGAAAAATCCAGCAGATCAGCACAGCGTTCTGGGCAAAAAGCTGATGAAATGCTCATGTGGTCAACGTTTCCTTCCAGATTCGCTACAAGATTCCTGAACAGAGTAACAGTCACATGGGTGGGAACCCTGTGTTACAGGCAGCAGTTGATGGAGGATGCATGACTCTAAAGGGGGAGGGAGGAGGAAGGGAGGGKGGGGGGGAAGGTAATAGGGATGACCGTAAATGCTTTGTCTTGGACCAGTAGTAGGGGTTGGAGGTTGGGGTTTGGGGTTTGGTGTTGGGGGTTGGGGGTTGGGGGTTGGGGGTTTGGGGGTTTGGGTTTAGGGACGGGAAAAGGGAGGACCATAAATACTTTACCTTGGACCAATAGTAGGGGTTTGGGGGATTTGGGGTTTGGTGGGTTTGGGGTTGGGGTTTGGGGTTTAAGGTTTGGGGTTTGGGGTTTAGGGAAGGGAATGGGGAGGACCATAAATCCTTTGAGTTGGACTTTTTTGCATTTGATAATGTTGATTAGATCAGGAAATGTGTGATGTTTTTTCCAGCATCACGGGATTTTTGGAGATTCCATATTGAAACTTTGTGAACACATTTCCTCACAGGAGAGTCCATCTGCCACTCACCAAATTCTGCAAATCCTCAAACTGCTGAATGGAATGTTGATCTGACGGTAGGCCGATCGATGGCCAGTCTGCAACCATGAGGGATTGCCCTGAATGAGGCATAACCTGCAGGAGAGGCAGAGAAACTCAGGGCATAAGTTTTGCCAAGAATAATGAAGAATTCTGAAAGAAGTTTAAAGAAGTTAAAAGAACGGAATTATTCGTTTTTGTCAAATTTTGTGAACTTTCGTAAAATTTCGTCAGTTTTGTTAAATTGTTTGGAAGGATTTTTCTTTTCTTTTTTCGGTCTTGTTTTCCTCTTGAACCACCAGTACTCGACCCCACTATTTCTTTTTTTTAAGCTGGGCCTGGGGCCGTGTACACACCGCAACCTTCGGGGGCCGGGGCGGCTGCTGTTGATGAATTTCATCAACAGCCACCAAAACGGCCAAGGACCTCAAAGGCCGTGGCGCGCATGTGCGACCATATTTTGGCACACATTCAGTACCCACTTAAGAGAGAAAACTCTTAGGAGAAGAAAAAACAAAATAGAGGAAAGGAAACTCCACTCATTTCTGGTTTGCATCAAATTGGGCATGTCTTTTAAACACACGGTTCTTTCTTTTCTTTCACCCTCTCTCTTTTTCTTTTGTTGCCCCAATACAATCAACAACCATCCTCGAATTACTGTGAGTTCGCACGCCCCATACACATCAATCACAATCCCGCAAGGGAAGAGAAAACATAGCATGTTCCAAAAGCGCTGTTGAGTTTTTTGCGTCGCCATCTTGATAAATAAAATAAGATTGCCTAAGAATACAGTGCGAGCCCGCTGACGTTTACAGAGTTGAGCCTGTTCTGGCGAATTCTCAAATTACTTGTGATTTGAATTTGAATTTCGAACGCAGCATGTACCCAACCCACCCATTCTGTTCTCGACTCTTCTCTTCAGAGACAAAGGTCGGTCCCCGGCAGTGCTGCGTTTGTGCCATCATGAAAATGTGAACGTGGTCTTGATATTCTTTTTTCGAGAGACTGACTAGAATCATGTGTTTTCTGCGGCACAAACAATCCACCCGTGTGAGTGTGGGGAAAACTTCTACACATTAACGGTTAACCATCCACTCTGCCTTCACACAGCTACAGTCTCGCATTGACACATTGTGTTGTCATCACCACACCACACCACCTCTTCATGTTTGCTGCCGGCCTGCCACATGTAACTATATCGATGGCCAGTCTGCAACCATGAGGGATTGCCCTGAATGAGGCATAACCTGAAGTGAAAACAAGCATCAATCACAACAAGATTCACACCATATCATTTTGGGACTTTGTCTTATATACTCCCCCCTGCTGTGCAGATCTTGCCAGCTCGTTCTCGTAGTTGCTGATCGTTTGTTGGTTCGTTGTTGCTTGGGTGATGTCGTTGTTGTTGGCTGCGCTGCTGCTGTTTGTGTCGTCGTTGTTGTTGTTGTTGCTGTTGCTGTTGCTGTTGGTTTGTGGTCGTGGTGGTGGTGGTGGTTATTGTTATTGCTGCTGCTGTTGGTTGTGGTGGTATCGCTGGTGGTGGTGGTTGCTTCGAGCTATTATAAAATTTATAAGTAATAACGCACCTGCCACAGTTCTTCAGTGACGAATGGCATGAACGGATGGATCATACGCAAAATAGTGTCAAAAACATAGACAAGTACTTGCTGTGCACATTGTGTAGCTTCTGGATCTTCTTTCTGATATAGCCTGGTCTTGGAGGCCTCGATGTACCTGCATTACATCACAACCGTTTGTTTGTCCAGTAAGTTCAGTCATTATTGCTTGCTCAACTTCTCCGCCCATTTGTTTCTGCACAATTTTTTTTTCCTCCTTGAGTAAAGAGAATACCAGATTGC